TTGACCAAACAGGAGCGATGAGATTAAGGATCACATCAGATAGTGTGGTGCTTGTAACGAACACCAAGCTAAACTAGCTCATGATGACACATTTCAGGTAGACTATGAAGGAAGTTTGGAATAGACATTGTCACTCTCACAGAAACTGATTATGTTATCACCATCTATTACTGTTACAATTACTGGGAGTCAGAGCATCTGGCGGAAATGACTAGTAGTGAGATTGAGGAATACCCAAAAGTACATTTCAGTCATTACTGCATTCCAGACACTGTGATGAGAGACAATGGATCTCAATTCATGAGCAAAGAATTCAGCCACTTCATAAAGGATTGGAAAGAAAGATTGGGAACATTATACATCATCTCTGCACTATCCCCAATCAAATAGAAAGATGGCAATGAAAATCACCAAATCGATCATAAAGAAATCAAGAATCCAACACAGACTTGTACAGGGTAGTCCTTGAGTGTTGAAATATACCTACTGTAGGCATTGAAAGTGGCTCTGACCAAAGACTAAGTCATGCAGTACCCAAACTACTGAAGCCATAAGTTTTTTTTTTCCTTTATTCATTCACAGGATGAGGCCGTCACTGGCTAGTCAGCATTTATTGCCCAAAGGGCAGCTAAGAGTCAACCACATTGCTGTGGGTTTGGAGTCACATGTAGGCCAGATCAGGTAAGGATGGCAGTTTCCTTCCCTAAAGGACATTAGTGAACCAGATGGGTTTTTCCCTGATGATGGATTCATGGTCATCATTAGATCCTTAATTCCAGATATTTATTGAATTCAAATTCCACCATCTGCTGTGGCGGGATTCAAACCTGTGTCCACACAATGTTATCTGGGTCTCTGGATTAACAGACCAGCGATAATACCACTAGACCGTTGCCTCCCTGTTAAGTAGTAACAGGCGTGACAGAATTAATGTGAAATGACAGAAGGTCAACTTTCACTTTGATTAAACTGCCAAGTTATTGCCAGAGCTGCATATTGAAGGTCAGTCAGAAAGTAAATGTTCAACACTCTCAACAAAAGTCAGCCCTTCTGGCATTTTGGGACTTCTATAGAGCAGTTGTCACCTTGTTTGTTCATGGTGAACACGAATCACCAAAAAAAAAATCATTACAGCTGCCGAGATGTAAATATAACAAGAGTGCTGTTCATTCACTGCAGACAGCAAATGAGGAAAATGTCATTGAACCACTTTTAGCAGTGTACAGGATGACCATCAGTCCCAGAGGTCCACCATTCCCAAGCAATGGAAATGGAGCAGTAACAACAGCTAACAAAACAATCGCATTCACCATTGCAGCAACACTCCCTGGAGTAGGCACAAAGAAGAACAATACGTTTTCCCAGAAGAACAGACAATAACAATGCTCATGGCTATTATAAAGAGGCCTGCACAATGTAAAAACTATGCATGTGATGTATGTACAGAGACTGACAAAACTGGAACTGACGAGAATTGACAACTATTTGTTATTGTATAATTGTTTTGCGTAGTGTATATCAGTAACTTGCATAATTTGTAATTACAAATGATGGTTCAACTTTTTTGCTCTTCTTTTAAATATAAAGAAATTGGAGAAATGTTGTTGTATGTCATTAGTGTACCTACTGGCTTGTTTCAGTCATGTGATCCCTACCTCTGCTGTAAATGCCTTAGTGTGCAGTCTGTGGCAGCCATTACTCACATCACTTGAAACAGTCTTTACGCTCTTTTGAAAGTGTAGCATCCAGAATTGGGCTCAGTATTTTAATTACAGTTAAACTAAAGCTGTTATGTTGTTTTACCATAATTTCCCAACTCTTGTGCTCTGCTTCTCTTCACAAAGTCCAAGATCCCGTATTCCATACCCATTATTAACTGCTATCTTAAATTGCCCTGTTACCTTCAAAAATCTGTGCAGAAGCATCCATGCCTTTGTTTACGAATCTCCTTTAAAATTGTACCATTTAGCTTAGATTTTCTCTCTTCATGCCTTTGAGTAAAGTATATCATATAATTTTACACATCAATTTTGTCTTTCATGCATCTGTCATGAGCCGAGCTCTTTCGAAATTTGTCACTTTCTTGCATCATGAAGCTGTCAAATATTATTTGCCCTTATCAAATCCATGATGGTCAATGCTTATTCATTTTGTTGCAGATTATCGTTTCTAAAAGCTTTCCCATTAGCAACATTAAACCGACTGGCCTGTAATCCAAGAAGGATTGGAAGATTATGGTTAGCACCTCTGAAATTTCTGCTCATACATCCCTCAGTGGACTACAGTGCATCCCAATCAGGCTGGGTGACTTATCCACATTAAGTAGTCTCACTTACATTCCACTTTTCACCAAGTTCATTGCTTGCTCTCGTGTTCAAAATTTCTCTATCCCAACATTGATTTTGGTCAATAATTAAGCATTCAAAGTCCTTTGGGATGGAGAATTTCAAAGATTCAAAGCTCTTCGAAAAAAGAAATTTCTCCTGATTTCAGACTTATATTGTCAGTCTATTATCCTAAGAATATGACTCCCTAACCTGGAGAAACAACCTCTCAGAATGTACCCAACAGGCACCCCTCAGAACCTTTTAATTTTAAATAATATTACTTCCAATTTTCAGTGACACATTGTGTATTCAAAACCTCTTTTCAGGCTGCTTGCTAATTTCTAATCAAGAAATTGGCTCAGAGATAGGTACACAGCCAAAGTTTTTTTTTCCTTTTCAGAGATGCTATTACACAACTATGGATGATATTTTTCTTTAACTGCCACCAAATCACCCGTGTTACATATTATATGAACAATTAATAAACACCAGGAGCTTATGCTCATGGCTACTTTAAAGAGACCCGCACAATGTAAAGTCTATGTATGCAATGCATGTGCAGAAACTGACAAAAGTGGAACTGACTAAAATTGACAACTATTTGTTATTGTATAATTGTTCTGCATAGTGTATATCGGCAACACGACTGCTGTTTTATTTTAGAACCTCCATCAGATCATCAGTGCTTCTAAGTTAATGAAGTACAAGCACTGTCCACCAGGGGCAGTGAAGAGCCCAACTCAGCTATTTTCAATCAACCTGTCCAGGAGGTTATTACACAGTCCTGGAGCAGTTAGGACTTGAACCCCGGCCTCATGGCTCGGAAGTAGGCACACTACCTCTATACCACAAGAGTCCAAAAGACAATGAATGTTTAAATAGCACATCGCACATTGTTCTAGGGACTGAACCAGAACTTGCATGTTATATTTAATACCCAACACCAGAGTACAATTGACAAATCAATTAATGGATGTCTGAGAGGATTAATTCTAACTTGGCAAAATAGGATGAAATATCAATTCAGATACCAGTAATACATCTCTCCTGGATTTTCATGCCAGTGATAATCTGATAGCAAAGACTTTACATTAACTTTTCCCCTTGTTTTCTGAATATACTTGTCTGATTGATTGACCTGTTGTCCTTAATTACAATCCAATAATCAAACATGCTTACTGATGGAGACTGCCAACATGAGATATAGGAAGGATGCTATTAAATTGGAGCGGGTTGAAAAAAGATTTGCCAGGTTGTTGCTGGAAATGCGGGGGTTTGAGTTATAAAAATAGGCTGGACAGGCTGAAGTTTAGGAGGTTGAGGGGTGATCTTACAGACGTTTATAAAATCATGAAGGGCATGGATAAGGTGAATAGCAAAGGTCTTTTCCCTAGGGTAGGGGAGTTCAAAACTAGAGGTTTTTAAGGTGAGAGGAGCAACTTTTTTTACACAGAGAGAGGTTCATGTGTGGAATGAACTGTTGGAGGAAATGGTGGATGCAAATACAGTTACAACCATTAAAAGTGGCACTAGTATGGTTTCGGAACATGGTCAGAGCAGACTAGTTGGACCAAAGGGTCTGTTTCCATGCTGTATGACTATGACTCTATGAGATACTATTTCCTCCAAATCCTTTCTTCAGTGTGAGCTGTATCTTTTGCTGCCTCAACTTGAAAGATATTGTTTGAAATTCCTTATTTTTGAAAGACCCTGTCGGTGAGCTTAACATCATATTTTTAAAAATGTACAGTAAAAATCAATGTGGTGACATAGACATTGGTTACATTGTGGTATAAGTTGTAATTATATTAGAAGTTGAAGTGAAATAGGGAGAAAACATTGGACTGCAATGAAATAAACATGTTTTAAGTAGCTGAAGACATTTTTTCCCTCGAACACGGATCAAACAAGCAATTGCACATCTAGTGTAGAAAGCAAAACATGTAGATTATTTCATTCATCGGATTTGATCATTTGTTTCTAGATTGAAAAGCACATAACTCCTTTTCAGAACCAGTTCTGCTCAATCAATATTTACTTGTCATCAGTGGATCTTTGTGCCTTTGTTAATATGCATATGTATCTAATTTCAAAGTCTGTTCTGTAACAGTTTTGATAAAAGAAACAGATTTGTTCTAACTGTAGGTGTGGGTTGCATTTTGTACATAATGACTAATTAAACATTTTACTTGGCTGGATCCAATCTGTTGATCTTTCCTCACCATCACCTAAATTTAACACATGCTTTTGCTCAATTGGTCAATTTGCTTTGTACTGTGCTTCAAATAAGAAATCAGACCCAATGCAACATCTTGCAAGAAATTGCTTGATTTTACACACTTAACAGTAAATTATTGCCCAAATCTAGGAATGTTGCATTAGAAGTGCAAGGAAGTAAAAATACCAGAATTTGACAGACAACAAGCACCATTTGTTGCAATATATGACTAGCCCTAGCTATTAAATAGCTGTTTAAATACCATAATGGTAAGCTTACAATAAAAATTATGTTCTGGATATTGTTTCGTTTAAATCCAGATTTTAGTTAATTTACGAAAGGATTCTCCAAAATTAAAGCATACCGTTTGCATTGAATCAAAATGATGAAGCACATGAACAAATTAAATGCTTGGTCAATAACTTAAGCCAGTGTTGTGGTTGTCATTTGCTCACCTTTCGAGGCATGTTGCTGGTAAGGCAGCTAGCCCTTTGCACATTTTGGCAGCTCCTTTGCTTTGTTGTCTCTCAGCAAAGTAAAATCGCTCTGAACTTGAGCTTCTTTTGCTGCTTGCTGCTGTGCCATGTAGATTATATACAGACTTTCCTCCCTTGAGTGACGCTGGCTGGTCAGCCAATTAAATCTTTCAAAAGTGATTATAGTCCAGGGACCGCATGAGTGCCTCACTCTAAGGAGGGATCTGCAGACTACAGCCTCCAGCAGTATGCATAGAAAGGTCAATCAGTGCTCCTAAAACATCATATCTTCCTTTAAAAAAAACATTCACAGTTGTCTGTAAGATTTCACAATCTGGAGTCTTAAACTGACTTCAATTCACCTAAAATGTACATTTTGCTTTGTCCAAACAGATCTTCAGCATAAATCCACTGTGCTTAATGATCTGCATACTTTGAATTTATAACAGCATTAAACAATGAGTTCTTCCGTGCTGGTGAAAGAATTTCCCAAGACATAGAAGGCAGGCTAAAACCAGACAACTCGTTTGTGGTAGAGACAACTCGCTGATGGCAAAGGAAGTTGTAACTTGAAAATTATTCGTGAATTTTCCCAGACAACAATATCCTCAGAGTAGGTTGCTAGCTAGACGTGGGCCAGAAGTAAGTTATTCAGCGTTTAGTACAGAAGGGAGAACGCAAGTTTTAAGCGCAGCCCTTTATCAGAACAGTACAGTTATCCAGTAACATCTGGTGCTTAGAAGAGTAAAAAAAACAAAAAAAACTAGTGGATTTTCTTTTCCTAGCTTTTACAGTGGTTGAGTAGAATTGGTGCTGGAAAGTTTGTGGTTCTTTTCATTATAGATTTTGGCAGAATAGAGTTAGGGCTCATGATACCAGGATTCTCGTCCCTGTGTTGCAGAGATGTATTTGAATATTGCAGAGACGTACACTACAGTGCAAAAAGGCTACTTTACAACCTTTGTTTCAAAATTTTATTTTCCAGCAGAAAATATTTTTGGAATTTATGCCAAACAATGTTGTATAATTTGCTGTTTTATTTAATTCAATGTATGTTTCTAACAACGTTTCACCATTTAAAAATCTCAACAGATGTGCTCCAATTTGGCTTTCTTTAACGTAGTTGGACCAAAAGGTAATTCATTAAAAATGGGAGAAATGTAGAATCAAGCTCATCTTCCCATTCACACAATCACTTTCTTAACAAGTGATAATATTGTGATTTTTTTTTCCCAAAATATTGCCTTTCATTTACAGAATTAGGTTTCAATCAGCTTTCTGCAATGGTAAAACTCTCTCTTTCCTTTGGTTCTTTTCTCTGTAATTTGTGGAACTGGTTATCTTGACATCCAGTATCAAATGAACCAAAATTTCCTCCACTTAAATATTGGGAAGACTGAAGATGGTTTTGGTTTCCACTCCAAACTCTGTTCCTTAACTACAGACTCCAGGAGACAGAGGAAGTTTCTGAAAGTTGGAGCTCAGACTCTGCAAGATACAGGTTACCATGCCAGACGACAACAGCACCTCCCTTTAACAGCATGGCATTTCATTCCTCATTCCTTCCCCTCCTTCCCAGAATAACAATGGGCTTCCCTTTTGTCCTCACTTTGCACCCCACCAGTCTCTGCAATTGAAGGAGCATCCTTTGCCATTTCCACTGCCTCCAACAGGATGCCAACACCAAACACATCTTCCCTTCCCTTCCCTTGTCGGTGTTCTGCAGGGACCATTCCCTTTTTGACATTCCAGTCCACTCCTCCACCAATCCTAACTCATCCTCAATTCCCATGGCACCTTCCCAATCAATTGCACAAGGTATAACACTTATCCATTCAACTCTTCAATTCTCACAGTCCAAAGTCCCATTTACACCTTTAGGTGAAGCAGCATTTCACTTGTACTTCTTCCAATCTATTCTTCGCTGCTCACAATGTGCTCCCCTTTGCATTGGCAAGACCAAACGCAGACTGGTTGACTGCTTTGTGGAAAGCCTCAAATCTGTCCATAGGAAAGACCCTGACTTCCCAGTTGTTTGCAATTCAGTAAACCATCTTGTTCTCACACTTCCTACAGTGTTCCAATGAAGCTTAACATAAGCTGGAGGAACAACACCTTTTCCAGCTGGGCCAACGTTTATTGTCTTTGAGAAGGTGGTGGTGAGTTGATTTCTAGAACTGCTATAGTCCATGTTCTGCAGGCCTGACCTACAATGCCACTGAGAAGAAAGATCCAGGATTTTGACCCAGTGACAACGAAGGAATGGTAATTTTTTTAAAAGTCAAGATGGTGAGTGGTTTGGAGAACTTGGAAATGGTGGTGTTCCCATGTATCTGCTGCCCATGTCCTTCTAGGTTGTAGTGATCATAGGTTTGGAAGCTGCTGTCAAAGAAGCCTTGGTGAATTTCTGCAGTACATCTTGGAGATGGTATGCACAGTTACTAATGAGTATTGGTGAGGAGGGAAATGAATGATTGTTGGTGCGATGCCAATCAAGTGGCCAGTTTTGTTCTGAATGGTGTCTTGGGTATTGTTGGAGCTGCACTCATCTCGGCAAATAAGGAGCATTCCATCACATTCCTGACTTATAGATGGTGGACAGGCTTTGGGGAGTCAGGAGATGAATCAGTCATGCCAGGATTCCTAGTCTTTGATTTGCTCTTGTGGATATTTGTATGACTAGTCTAGTTCAGATTCTTGTCAATGATAACCACTAGTGAAGAATTCAGTGATGGTGGCGCCATTGAATGGTCAAGGGGCAATTCTTGGATTCTGTTTTGTTGAGATAGTCATTGCCTGGCATTTGTGTGGGCATGTGCCATGTGTCAGCATATATCTGGATATTGTCCAGGTCTTGCTGCATTTGAACATAGACTGCTTCAGATTCCGAGGAGTCATGAATGGTCCCAAACATTGTGCATTGTCGGAAAACATCTCCACTTCTGACCTTATGATGGAGGGAAGGTCATTGATGAAACAACTGAAAATGGTTGGGATGAAGACATTCGCCCGAGGTACTCCTGCAAAGATATCCTGAGGCTGAGATGATTGACCCTCTACCAATCACATCCTCTCCCTTTGTGCTAGGTAGCACTCCAATCAGAGGAGAGTATTTTTCCCTGATTCCCATTGACTCTGGTTTTGCTCAGGCTCCTGATGCCACACGTAGTTAAATGCAACTTTGATGTTAAGGGCAGTCACTCTCACCTTGCCTCACCTCTGGAATTCACTCTTTTGTCCATGCTTCAACCAAGGCTGAGATGAAGTCAGGAGCTGCGCGGCCCTGGTGGACCCAAACTGAGCAGGTCATTGCTAACCTGGAGTTGCCTAATACCTGCTCTGAGTTTTATGTCAGGAATTGCCCACATTAAGTTTCTCCCTGTTGTGTGGAACAACAGGAAACTGTATATAAGTGAGGTGAGATTAGGAACAAATGAGGTGTAAATGCACGCAAATAAGCTTCTTGTCTCACCATTCAAACCTTGGTTTCAAAATTGACTTTCTTTTCCACAGTGTCGAAATCTCATTTTTCAGATTTCAGCGCATTTTCCCATTCAGCAGCTGGGAAAAGTCAGCCTAATGTTCCGATTTAAACCGTGTGTACTAAAACTGGGGAGTAATTATTAGAAGAGTCTTATTTTAATTCCACAAGGGTATCATTGTAATTATGTGGTGCAGTCATATTTGAATACTTAAAATAAAGATATGTTGTGAATTTAATTCCCACTTGGATTGGTTGGCTGGCAGAACAAATTTGTCTACATGTGAGGGGTTGTAAAAAAGTCGCAATTAACTTCAGGCTGGAGATGAACCAATATTTTTCTGTAACTCTTTTATGTAACAAGAATGTTCATGATAGAAGTTGAAAAGAGGTTTGCTTCTCCAGTGATTAAGAGCAGACAATGTAAGGCGAGGCTTGTTCTTGAACCCCATGACCTTCTGTTTGGGCGTCCATCTGTCTACCATAGAAATTGCTGGGCCACCCCACAGTTATGATCTGCATTAAAAATGTAATTGTGCTGGAGATGAGATTTCGAAAGTTTAAATGCTGTGACGCCCTGTTGCAAGAACATCCTGTTTTTCCAAGATGAAAACAATCCTAGAAACAGGAAGTTGTTTCCAAGATGACTGTGTATTCTTTAAAGTAACTGTGCATCAATTAACCATCTGAGCACAGCTTACAATTTAATATAAATGTGGACGAAGACCTAATTTTGTTTTACCTCTTTGCATGGAGACCGTGATGTTCATTTTTCATTAGAAATGCTGGGAGGTTGAATTTCATTAGTGCTAAAGTGAACACCCTCATGAGTCACCATGCTAACTGCGAGGTATGGCTGATTTTTTAAGGCAAAGCATATCGAGTATCATCAGGAAGGTGAATAAGCAGTTCTCAAAATATATATTCCACAGTCATTACATTTCTTTCACAGTAACATTGTTATAAGAGTTTTAATTCTTGACTTAAAATTGTCAAAATTCCGATGAAAAATCAAAACCTGAAAGATTAATCCTGTTTCTCTCTCAGGAGATGCTGCCAAGGTTGTGGAACAGACCCATCATTTTCTGTTTCTATTTCAGCATGTAAGTACATTCTATAGCACTGCAATGTAAGCTGGGAGAAAAAGGAGTGTTACTCTCAGGGTTCCTCACATAAGCATTTGCTATAGTCCACCAACTTCCCTCTATCAGGTCTATGATTCTCCCTCTCTGACTAGTTGTTGGTGTGATACAGGTCCCCTAGCCATTACCCTCATCTGCTTTTAAGGTGGGCATTTGAAGATAAAGTGATTTCTTTTACTCAAGAGAGTTGTTAATTTATGGAACTCACTATCACAGGAAATGTTTCAGAAAGGTACCTTAGGCACTTACCAAATAGAAGTAGACAACAACATGACAGAGAATCAAATAGACCATATACAGAAAAGCTGGTGGATTGGAAGTTGATGCGTGGTAAAATGTTACAGTTATGAGGTTTACAAGATTATAATGTATTGAGATTGTTTCTTGAATTTAAGGTAAAGTGAATGGAGTCAAGTGATGTGTTCAGAAGTCTGCACAACAGCAAGTTTGGGTGGTTTGATTGTTAAAGATTAAAGGGGTTTCGGGT